ACTATTACCTGGTGCTCCCCTGCCCAGCAGTAGACTTTATAACATTTCCAAGCCTGAACGTGAAACCATGGAGAAATACATAAATGAGTCTTTAGCTGCTGGGATAATCCGTCCATCCTCTTCTCTCTTGGGTGCTGGTTTCTTTTTTGTGTTCAAGAAAGATGGTTCCTTAAGACCTTGTATAGACTACAGAGGCCTTAACCAAATAACTGTCAAAAATAAATACCCACTTCCGTTACTAGCATCAGCCTTTGAACCAGTTCAGGGGGCTACTGTCTTCACCAAGCTCGATTTAAGAAACGCATATCACCTTCTCAGGATAAGAGAAGGTGACGAATGGAAGACAGCCTTTAAAACCCCTTTGGGCCAGTTTGAGTATCTGGTTATGACTTTTGGTCTCACAAATGCTGCTGCATGTTTTCAAGCGCTCGTCAACGATGTCCTCAGAGACTTTCTGAATATTTTTGTATTTGTATACATTGACGACATTTTGATCTACTCCAAGAACCATTCTGAGCATAAGAAACATGTCCGCCTGGTCCTTCAAAGATTGTTGGAGAACAAACTTTTTGTAAAGGCTGAAAAATGCGAGTTTCACCAACCTTCTCTCACCTTTTTAGGGTTTGTGCTCGAGGGCGGGCAGGTTAAGCCATCCAAAGAAAAGATAAAGGCAGTGTTGGACTGGCCGACACCTGAGAACCAAAAACAGCTGCAGAGATTCCTGGGTTTCGCTAACTTCTACCGACGTTTCATCAGGAATTACAGTCAGACAGCTCTACCTCTCACTACTCTAACATCAGTCAAAAAGACCTTTCAATGGACTCCAGAAGCACAAGATGCTTTTGATAAATTCAAGACCCTGTTTTCCAGAGCTCCTGTGTTAATCCAGCCAGATCCTTCTAAACAATTCATCCTCGAAGTGGACGCCTCTGACTCTGGTGTTGGTGCTGTGTTATCCCAACAACTCGACTCTGATCAAAGGATTCACCCCTGTGCATTTTTCTCCCATAGACTCTCCCCGGCTGAACAAAACTACGATGTAGGGGACCGAGAACTTCTGGCCATCAAACTCGCATTGGAGGAGTGGAGACACTGGCTCGAGGGGGCTGAACACCCAGTTCTGGTGTGGACTGATCACAAGAACCTAGCTTATATCCAGTCCGCCAAACAGGCTAACCCACGTCAGTCAAGATGGTCTTTGTTTTTCTCTCGGTTCAACCTCATTATTTCTTACAGACCTGGCTCCAAGAACATCAAGCCCGATTCTCTCTCTCGTCTATACTCTGCTGATCAATCCGAGACGCCTGAACCTGTACTTCCTGCCTCCTGTACTGTTGGAGTGGTTTCCTGGGAGATCTCCGATCTCATAAACTCTGCCCTAGCTTCAGAACCTGACCCAGGTAACGGTCCTCCTAACAGAACCTATGTCCCTTCTTCTGTCAGATCCCGTTTGATCCAGTGGATGCACACAGCCAAGTTTTCTAAGCTCTAATCTAACGTGGCTACACGTTAGAACAATAAATGAAAGAGTGATTCGAGCTCTAATCATTGTCAAACAGTAAATTCTGCACATACATGGAATAAATTCATCACAACTTCTGTTCAAAATATAAGAGTTTATTAACAAAAATCATTCAGCTGTAATGTATTGAGTATCTGAGGAACACATGAACACTAATGTTATATCAGTGTTAAATCCTTAGTGAAATAAAGCTTGTCCAAGCTTCAGCAACAGCTCAACACATATTCCTGTAGCATAGCGTAGCGTGCAGTCTATTCTGTTAGCTTGACTTTGCTCATCATTAAACACATGTTGTTTGTTCTGTCCCTAATCATGCCAGACCTGCAAACCTTTTTCCATGTCCATTTGGAAAGCTTGAGTTTGATCCATTTGCAGCTCTACAGTCATTGCACAGCAGGGGTTCTTTGTCTCAGTGGTTCATCAGGCAGTCCTTCTCTCCAGTCTGGTTCTATAAGTTCTGAAACTCAAGAGAAATGTGTTTTGCAGCAGTTTGGTTCTGAAAGGTTCTGACATATCCTTGATGGTTCTGGAGATCTGGTTCCCCTGAGGCCCGCACAGTGTGCGAAATACCTGTCAGTATTTGGGGGGGTCCCCATCTCCCGATTGTTGCGCAATACCGATCAAAATTTTCTCGATATGCAGTAGGCCTATAACATTACAGTGTCAAAGTTGAAGTCAGCTTTAATGTAAATTCATCAGATTCACCAGACATACAAGGACTGGAGAGGACGTTTCTCATTCATCAACAGTAAAACAGATAAAGTGCACAGGCACAACAGATAAAATCAATTCCTAATACTAAAATTTAAACATTCAATTTCACAATAAAATATAATAATATTTAAAATATAATAATATGTACAATAATATAAAATAAACAATACTTATGCTAGTGCAAAAAGGCAGATGGCAATGGCAGCAGAAAAAATATTATTATTATTACCAATTATGTAAGATATATTTGTAACAGTTACAGTGCAAAAGAACAGTAAATAAATATAGTAATAATAGTAGTGCAGGAGAAAGTTTGTCCGGAGGGAGGTGGGGTCAGCTTCCTGACAGCCTGGAGGATGAAGCTTTTTGTGAATCTGGTGGAGTGGGCAAGAGCCTGAACAGACAGTCAGTCTATGACAACACACACACGCACAAAGACTCTCTCTCTGTCTCTCTCTCTGTCTCTATCTTTCTCTCTGTCTGTCTCTCTCACTCTCTCTGTCTTTCTCTCTGTCTGTCTCTCTGTCTGTCTCTCTGTCACTCTCTCTGTCTCTCTGTCTTTCTCTCTGTCTGTCTCTCTGTCACTCTCTCTGTCTCTCTCTCTGTCTGTCTCTGTCATTCTCTCTGTCTCTCTGTCTCTCTCTTTGTCTGTCTCTCTGTCTCTCTGTCTGTCTGTCTCTCTGTCTCTCTCTTTGTCTGTCTCTCTCTCCCTTTCACACACACACGCTTGCACGCACATATACAATCACTCTCCAACTCCAAGGCTAGGCTGCTTCACTAAGACCACAACCAAACACAAGGCCTACATACAGGACAATTTATAAAATAGCCTCTTACCTTAAGTCAGAACCAAACTAAATATGCCTCGGCTTGACTTCTCGTGGTTGCAGTCCTGGTTTCCAGGAAGCAGAGAGACGATGTCCTGCTTTAATGCAGTTTATGATGTATGGAACTGGGTCAAATTTGTCCAGAGGAGGTCTGTTGAGGTCCACAAACAGGAGTGAAGACCTGCTGTCTTCGCGCAACCTGTTCTGCATCTCGTTACCGGGTTATTAAGTGCGGAAAAGCACATGGCTAATTTGCATAAGCGAACAGGATTGGCTGGCTCCACTTGGCAAAAAAAAAAAACATATTTGTGAATAAATGTTTTACATTTTAAATATTGGACATGTTGAGCTTAAAAATATTTTTGTTACCGTTGGTGACAAAAAATTTTTTATTTTTAATATTTTGACACAATTTAAGACCCCCTTTAAATTTAACTTTTGAGGCTTTCAGGGGGTCTCATGGGTTAATCGGGGGGGTCGAGCCCCCCCGGACCCCCCCGTATTTCGCACTCTGGGCCCGCATCTCCACTGTGGAGAGGTGGCGAAACGTCTTCAAATCTTGGAAACCAAGTCCCGTGGATTTTTTTTTTTTTTTAACTTTTATGGAATGACTATGACCTGGATGACTGGGAATCTTCATCAGCAATATCTTATGTTACATCTTTAAAATGTGTAAAAACCAAAAGTGCTGTTAATTGTTTTTCTTTTTGTGGGTAAACTTAATCTGCTGGTTTAATGTGCTGTTCTTGATTCTATGTATAATATAATGTTGCTTCTTTATTATTATTACTTTATTATTTTTATCATTGTTCCTTCTCCTTTTATCTTTGCTTTTATTCTATATTAAAGGGGAACACCGTTTTTTTTTACATTTGGCCCTTGATTTTACGTTATTACATCATGTTCTACTCACCCATATTAGTTTTGTGTCATTTGGAGCTGATCTGAAGATCTGAAGATATTCCTTATTGGCAAAGAGTTGTAGGCACAACATTCATAACATGTAGGTGAACTGTTTAAATATATATATATATATATATATATATATATATATATATATATATATATATATATATATATATATATATATATATATATATTTTTTTTTTTTTTTTTCTTCAAAACTTTATGGAAAAGTTGCAAATTACAAAACATTGACAAGATATAGAACAGTGTCTCCTTTTCAATCGGTCTCCGCCAAGTGACGTCAATTGTTTACCTCGGGCGCGGTACACTATGCCTTTTCCACTTAAAATGGCGTCTTAGCAACAAATGTCACGTGACTGGCGGAGACCGATTTTCCTAAATCCGCCCCTGTTTTCAGGCTTATGTTAACTGTAATGACTTATCTTGGACAGGCTGCTATGTAAACAGGCCTTTAGTCCTTCGTTTAGCTATGCTGCGGTTGTTTACACTACACCTTTTCCAACTAAAATGGCGTCTTAGCAACAAAAGTCACGTGACTGGCGGAGACCGATTATGGAGTACAATTACAATTAAGATATAACATACTAACTTAAATAAATAACGGAAGAGACTTAAACACAACAACAACAAACAAATTAAAACAAAACAAAAAAGGCAAGATATATTACATTTCTCCAAATATTTTCAATAGTTATATTTTTTTTAAAAAAGCGGAGTGTGTATGACGTCATCTATGTTTGTCTGTCAATCTTGATATTTTCAATAAAGAAAAGGAGAAAAAAGTGCGCATGCGCAATGAGCTGCTGGTAGGGATCGGGTAGCATTAGCAGCATTAGCTTAGCTTGTGTGTGGAGTCATTGTAGAGAGGCTGATAATCTGGGAGTGTTTGCAGTGAGAATGTCTTCAGTCCAGCTTCGAGGAGAGTTTATCACCGAGCAGTTAACTCCTGCTGAAGAAACATTCGCGGAGTTTAAAGGGAGTTTGGTCAATTCGGAGGAAAAGATGGACGATCAACATCTACTGCTGGATTTCACCAGGATCCCCCAGATCATCTTACACCGGATAGGTAGGAAACACCTGATAGAAATGATTCCCTGATGATGCACACTGTGGATTTTAGCCTCATCTGATTGGAAAACTGCTTAGAGGAGATCAACATGCTAAGCTAAAGCTAACTTCGGGTCGGCGGCCATCTTACTACGGTCAGCTCGCTCACTTACAATATTGGGTTTTAATAACTGCGGTCTATTTAGTAATTTGCTCCGGTTAAACCTGTTTTTTATGGCAAGCCAAGAAGGTCACATTTCGCATTGAATTGTCGCGTTAAGATTGAAGTTAACCCGCAAAAAACGCGCGTTCTCCCGAGATTACGCCGCTTTTTACGCCGTCTTTTACCAACAAGCGCCGCCTTTGACGCGCGTCATGAGAGTACCGCAAGACGCGCGTTAAATACGCGCGTTGTGTCGTTCAGAACGCGCGTTAAATACGCGCGTTGTGTCGGTCAGAACGTTTTCCTAATATGATAATGATGTCCTTCCTTCTTTTCCCACAGCCAATGCATTTGAACTGGTTGCATCCAATGGCTGATCAAGGCAGTCAGACCAAGAAAGTTCAGCACAGATCTGCTTTGTGGAAAACTGCACAGAGCTCAATGTTGCAGCATTGCCAGAATTCACTGCATTGCCGTTTCACAAACCTTAATGTTAGGAGTAAATCCACTACTTACACTTTGCTGTTATTTTGAATCCATTCCATGCCTATTTTCATGTAAAAACGGTTTACATTGCCAACTAATGTTTTGTATTCACCAGGATTACTAGGAATGTTTCACCGGTTCTTACTACCGAGAGGTGGCGTAGTGGGTTAAGTAACTGCCATTGATGCGAATCTTTTGCTTCGTGGCGGGTTCGAATCCGGCAGAGGCCGTCCGACTTTATCCTTTATATTCTGTCTTGTCTCCAACCAAGCCCATTTATTTATTTATTTTTTTCTGAGAATATAATCATAAATGTAGCCTACTTCACTGTTTTTGATCCATCGCCATGCATTCTGTCATGTAAAAACTTTTTATATTGTACTAATAAAATGACAATAAAGGGGACACTTGTCTTCCAGAAAATTTGCCGGTCTGACTTGTTTTCTGTATATTTTCCTGCATATCACCAACCTTTTCCCATAATGCTTTCTACAGCCATGGAGTAACTGCTGTTAAAATTAAATGAACAGGAAAATTTCTTATTAAAAGTGTTATTAGTGCAATGAGAAAAAACTTGCTTAGTTGAGCAAGTGGAGGTTTGATGATCCCCATAGCTCATGTTCTCTGTCTCCTACATATATATATATATATATATATATATATATATATATATATATATATGTATTAACCACGTCACATAAATGTTCTTTCAGTCTGCAGATGGCGCCATATAACGAGTAGGCTACTGGCAGAGCAGCAAACAGGTGTTTGCACCAAAGCTGGGGAACAATATAGGCAAGGTGTGTCTCTTTTTCAAGAGAGAACTGGATACTGGATTCTTCTATCTTTTTTATTTATTATGAACTATTATTTATCTATTTCCCACTACCTTTGACCACTAGTCAATACCTTTACTTATGTGTACTAGAACAAGATCCAAATGTGCAAGAGTCTAATTACATTTTCATTGTGGAGTAGGAGACAAGGTATGGGTGCAGCACCTTCCATTGGGGGTGTATCCAGAAAACAGGTACTACGTTACTTAGATGTTACATTTAATTTTAACAGCAGTTGTTCCGTGGCTGCAGAAAGCATTATGAGCTTGGGAAAAGGTTAGTGATATGCAGGAAACATACAGAAAACAAGTCAGACAGACACATTTTCTGGAGGATAAGTGGCCCCTTTAATGTCATTTTATTAGCACTATGTAAAAAGTTGTTACATGACAGAATGAATAGCGATGGATCAAAAACAACAGAGAAGTGGGCTACATATATGGATTATATTCTTGGTTAGAGGCAAGAGAGAATATCAAAGGCATAGGTTTGATTTCAGCTTTGGCAGGGACACTATTGGTCTTCAGTTTCACTGGTCTAATGTCATTGGTCCTTTGCAAAAAGATGCATACTCCTTTTTTTAATGCTTAATGTGAGCATCAGGCTTTGATGTGTTTAAAGAGAACAGCATAATTTCTTCCTAGATTAATACAAATCTTATAAGCACTACACTCACTAGATGCTGTTTAGCAATGTTTGAAGCATCACTGGCTCTGATCAATGTGCAATTAGGACTTTTTTCCACTTTGAAAATGTTTGCATTTAAACTTACCAGTAAGACAGAAGGTAAATACATTCCTATTTGACCAAATATAGTCTATATATGCCTGTTATATGTTGACGTATCATGGGTTTTCTTTTGAAGATGTATAACTGTACAGAGGTAAACAGGTGAAACCCACTCTTATTTTTTTATCTAATATGCTCTCTCTGTGTCATGCAAAATAATACATTCAACGGACGGCAAATAAATGTATTGTATTTACATGTGCACTGGAACTATAAGAGGAACTGACACTGAGGATTTTGAATATTAACTTCACTATACAAGTTGTACATCTGGGCTGTAGTTAGTCTATGTAGCCCATTTCATAAATTTGTTCTATGGCTAAAACAATTAATCACATCTATCAATAATTTAAATAATCGTCAACTGATTTAGTAATTGATTAATCATTAACTGGAGTATAGAGCCACTAAAATGTGCCTTTAAGCCAATAGAGCGACCCACTTAGAGCAGGAATTATACCAAGATTGTGAAAAAATATGTAAACATTTTGCATTTAGGACAAAAAAAAAAGTTTTAGTCTGTCAATATTCTCCATCCAGAACTCCTCCAGAGGAAACGTTTCTGTTTCACCTGGGGTCATTTCGTAAAAAAATCTACTTTAAGGAACCTTTGGGTGATCTGATTATTAATCAATTCATCAAAAAAATAATCAACAGTTTCAACCCTTATTTTATGGTAACGTTCCAAACACATTTCTTCCATCATGCAGCAGTGAAGGGCAGCTGCTTCACCCTGAGGCTGCCCTGCATCATTATATCTGTTTCCTACAATCATATAATGTTTCTATTCTACAAGTGCGTCTATAATAGTAAAGGATTAAATGTAACAACCTTTTATCATCATCCTATATTGCTTGCTGTTTAAAAGCTCCTTATGTCTATTTTCTTTTTTAGTGGCATCATCTACAAACACAACACTAAGAATCAGCCAAAGTTTATTCAAATATAAAATCACTTTAAACAATTATTATCTGTAATGTAATAGTATCCAAAATAAACAGCCAGATTCAAGCATTATTTACCAGAGATTAATGTACTAATTTACTTATGGACCATGTGGAAATCTAGAAAAATAGAATCAGTGTAAATAGAGTTCCTCTGTGTGTCTTTATCCTATTTCTAGAAGTAGAATCAATTGAATAGAACTATTTTTATGTGGAAAACAAAAAAATAGAAGAACGTCAGCATCCTTCTCGTGTTGTTATGTTCTACAAAATAAATTAAGAGCTTTTATATACACCTGAACTGCCGTCAAAAAACAGAAAACAGTAATAGAAAAGAAATACTGGTGAAAGGGAATCAGAAATGTTGATAGATTACAGACTGCTCATTTCAACAGCGGTTTTCAGAACTCCTGTCTGACTCAGAATATTTTGTTTTATAAAAGAAATCCTAACTTTGGTTACTTTCATTTCTCAAGTTCCAAAAATACAAACTATCTCCTGCTTCTTCATAGAACTGCAGTCAGAAGCTTTCGCCTGTTTTAGCCTAGAGTGTCCCTGCCAAAGCTGAATTAAAACCTATGCCTTTGATATTCTCTCTTGCCTCTAACCAAGAATATAATCCATAAATGTAGCCCACTTCTCTGTTGTTTTTGATCCATCGCCATTCATTCTGTCATGTAACAACTTTTTACATTGTGCTAATAAAATGACAATAAAGGGGCCACTTGTCCTCCAGAAAATGTGTCTGTCTGACTTGTTTTCTGTATGTTTCCTGCATATCGCTAACCTTTTCCCAAGCTCATAATGCTTTCTGCAGCCACGGAACAACTGCTGTTAAAATTAAATGTAACATCTAAATAACGTAGTACCTGTTTTCTGGATACACCCCCAATGGAAGGTGCTGCACCCATACCTTGTCTCCTACTCCACAATGAAAATGTAATTAGACTCTTGCACATTTGGATCTTGTTCCAGTACACATAAGTAAAGGTATTGACTAGTGGTAAAAGGTAGTGGGAAATAGATAAATAATAGTTCATAATAAATAAAAAAGATTAAAGAATCCAGTATCCAGTTCTCTCTTGAAAAAGAGACACACCTTGCCTATATTGTTCCCCAGCTTTGGTGCAAACACCTGTTTGCTGCTCTGCCAGTAGCCTACCCGTTATATGGCGCCATCTGCAGACTGAAAGTATTGTAGACTGAAAGAACATTTATGTGACGTGGTTTATATATATATATATATATATATATATATATATATATATATATATATATGTGTGTGTGTATATATAGGAGACAGAGAACATGAGCTATGGGGATCATCAAACCTCCACTGGCTCAACTAAGCAAGTTTTTTCTCATTGCACTAATAACACTTTTAATAAGAAATTTTCCTGTTCATTTAATTTTAACAGCAGTTGCTCCATGGCTGTAGAAAGCATTATGGGAAAAGGTTGGTGATATGCAGGAAAATATACAGAAAACAAGTCAGACCGGCAAATTTTCTGGAAGACAAGTGTCCCTTTTATTGTCATTTTATTAGTACAATATAAAATGTTTTTACATGACAGAATGCATGGCGATGGATCAAAAACAGTGAAGTAGGCTACATTTATGATTATATTCTCAGAAAAAAATAAATAAATTAATGGGCTTGGTTGGAGACAAGAAAGAACATAAAGGAAAAGTCGGACTGCCTCTGCCGGATTCGAACCTGCCACGAAGCAATAAATTCGCATTGAAGGCGGTTACTTAACCCACTACGCCGCCTCTCGGTGATGATAAGTGGTGAAACATT